TGCGGGAATGAAATGAGAGCGTTCGTGACGGCGACTGGGAGGTGTTGCTGGAGAACCCACGGTCGCAGGTGATGTCGAAGGTTCGGCAAATGCACACCCTGGTGAACAGGCGCGGGATGGGCGTGAGAGTATTTGTGATGGCGACTGGGCGGAGTCACTGGAGCTCCTGCGGTCACTGTAAGGCCGGAGCGGCGCTTTGCTGCAAGGGCCTTCAATGCTGCTTGCAGCTTTAACTTATATTATTTTCTTTCATTTATTTTTTTCAGTTTGTATGCCTCTTTTATGATTGTCCACTGTTGTCATCATTTTTTGTTGACATCAGGTCTCTCTTATAAATGAGTCCCAGAAGCTCAATGGGACTAACCTGTTTAAATAAAGGTTGAATGAATGTTACTCCCGACAGAAGTCAGGGTAAGGAGGACCCTCTTACCTCGACGGAAACAAATTGGATTCATGATGACAACTGGTTATTTTGCTGTTTGGCTGGTGAATTCTAGATTGTCTCCAAATTTGTGTGGATGTGTCGAAGCTCGACAGCACTCAGACTGAATTTGTGGAGCTGCAGCAGGGAGGTGGAGCAGCTGTCATCAGGACTGTGCACTCACTGGCAGCACTCATGACTGATGGGAATAATCTTGGAGAAGCTGTGAGCTTGACGTTTGGAGTAAAGGATCAATTCGGCTGTTTTGTAGTTTCCATCCGAGGAATATATACCAGCAAGAGTTTAAAAAAGGCAGAAACAACAATTCACGAGTTCTGCCTGACCCAAATTGTGGCCTTGACTCTGGACTTATCTCAACTCCTCCTAGAATGTTTAGAAAACAACAAAGATGCTTTGTCTGTCTCCTCATCCCTCCCTTCCCCAAGGCCGTGGACATGTGACAGAACCTCAACTGAGCTGATGATGAATGTCACCTCTTATCTGGACAATGGCTGAGAGGGGGGCTCTGGACTATGCTATGACTTTCTCTTAAAAATTCAATGTTTTCACTGCCTATATGTAAATGTATAACGTCTGTTTATGTTGCATTGCTGTGGTAGGTTTTTTTGGTGCCTCAAATCGTGCCCTGTCTAGGACACAGTGTGAGAGATCTTTTTTTAATTCCGTCTCTCCTCATGTTTTCTTCACTTTTCTCATCTAAGCAAGAATGAGAAGGCCACACTATTTAATAGCTGCAGCTTCGTGAACTCCGCCCATCTTTCGGACGACTGTACGTACATATTCTCCTTGTATCTCGGTGCAATGCTAATAAAGTTTATTCTGATTCTGATTTTGATTCTGATGAATACCAGAAACAGGAGGTTGAAGCCACAAAGGATGAGCACCCCCTGGTGGATTGTTTTATATATGACTTTTAAGCCCCGCCCTTCTACGCAAAGTACTGAGACATTTTCCTGACTAAAAATAAAAAGAGATCTCAGATCGGTAGTTCCCAGCGTTGGTCCTGGAGGAACACCATCCTGCATGCTTCAGTTGTTTCCCTGCTCCAACACACCTGACTCAGTGATTTTACGACTTCCTCAGGTTCTACAGAAGCCCGTTAATCATCCTTCCATTCAAATCAGGTGTGTAAAAGCAGGAAACAACTAAAACATTCAGGATGGCGTTCCTCCAGGACCAGGGTCGGGAACCAGTGTCTTGGATCAGTTTGTCAGGAGTCAGTTGGATCTTGTAGTCCTTGATTTGCTGCTGGACGTTCAAACGTGCACATTTTCAATCCCTTTAACTAGTTTTTGAAGCTTAAAGTAAGGTGTTGTGCTGCACTGTCACTGACAGCCTACTAGTGAGTGGAGAGGGTTTGTAAGAGGGATCTTTGTATCGGGGTTACATACAGCCCCCGCCCAGAGGGGCTCTGTTCCAAAGAGACAATGTGGCACCTCCCAAAACTTTGGACCTTTAGGCTTCAACTGTTCTGAGTGCTGAGAGGTGGAGGACCACCTTTAAAACAGTTGATGTCTGGACCACCTTTACACAGATGAAGACCCCCCCCCCCCCCCCCCCCACCCCCCCACTGTGTTAGAAAAAGGTGTCCTTCAGTGTGAAGAAGATGCTGCAAGGCTCTCAGTGCCGGTTTTCTCTGCCGGTTTCTGTGTTCCTGAGACGTTCTCTCCCCCACCCCACCCCCACCCACTGTGTTTTTGCAAGCTCTTAAAGAGCGCTCCAAGACCTCACAAAAGGCCATGCAGGTTCTGGTCCTCACAGGGTCAAAGTGAATTTACTGCTGGAGGTGACAGGAAGTGCAGCTCCATCACCTGTCATGGTGTTTCCTCCTTTATATGGCAGTTTGTACACGGCCTCGAGCAGAGACGCTTTGGTTGGGTGGCTGTTCAGGTGCCATTCGGTCCTTGGGTCTCCGCTGTACTGAGCCAGACCTGCAGGAACAAAACACAAAGGTCCTAAACCAGAGAGACGCTTCAAGCTCAGGTCCAAAACCTCCTGAGACAAAATCCTTGGAAAGTCTTCCTTTCCATGTCGGCAAAAAGACAAGGAAAAGGTGGTAAACCACTGGACACTGAAGTAAAAGTAGGTTGCAGTACTAGGTGTTGTTTGTTGTTTGTTGTTGTTGTTTTATTAGCAAAAGTAGAGGTAGTAATAGAAGAAGTTTGGTTGTTTGTTGGTGGTGTACAATCTGTGGACTGGTACAAAGCTGCTGCATGCTTTACTACTTGCAGTAGTAGTAGTAGTAGTAGTAGTAGTAGTTGTAGTAGTAGTAGTAGTAGTAGTAGCAGTAGTAGTAGTAGTAGTAAAACTTGCAGTAGTCGCACCTGTAGTAGTAGTAGTAGTAGTAGTAGCAGTAGTAGCACTTGTAGTAGTAGTAGTAGTAGTAGTAGCAGTAGTAGTAGTAGTAAAACTTGCTGTAGTAGCGCTTGTAGTAGTAGTAGTAGTAGTAGTAGTAGTAGTAGTAGTAGTAGGAGGAGGAGGAGGAGGAGGACTAGTACTTGCAGTAGTAGTAGTGGTAATAGTAGTAGTTGCAGTAGTAGTACTTGCAGTAGTACTTGCAGTAGTACTTGCAGTAGTACTTGCAGTAGTAGTA